GAGACTTTGTCTCTCATACTTCGGCCATGTTATCAGAAGGACTAGTCACTGGAGAAAGACATCATGCTTGGTAAAGTGGAGGGTCAGCAAAAAACCAAGAAGTCCCCCAAACAAGATGGACTGGCTACAAGAATGGGCTCAAACACAACAACGATTGTGAGGAAGGCCCAAGACCCAGCAGTATTTCATTGTCTTACCTGAGTTATGGCTTCAAGCTTTAAGAATCTGGTATCTCCCACAGAAAGGTTTCCTTGTGGCTGGGTGGAGACAAGGAGATTTTCTAGGGGAAGTTTGACTCCGTATCTCAAGCCCTCGGAATGGGAGTAGATGCAGTGAAGAACAGTGCAAGCCAGTGAGGTGGGTTTTATGATAGTTGGATTTGAGGGTGCTCTATCTAGATTATAGCAAGGTGGGCTTGAGCATATGGCACTGCTAGTACCAGTGTGGCTCACACTCCAAAAGTGATGTCAGACACCACAGGTAACTGGACTGTTGGTTTTCTGCGGGTTGTATCTTTCATCCTGGTTACTGTTGTTAGGAGCTGTCGAGTCTGTTCCAGCACATAGCACCCCTGTGTACAACAGAAGGAAATACTACACCCACAAGGACTCCACATACAGTAAGTCCTGGGGTGGCACTGTAGGATAAGCACTGAACTGCTAACTACAAGGTCGATGATTCACACCCACCAGCAGTTCCTTAGAAACTCCAAACAGGTCACTATGCACGTTGGAACCAACGTCAAGGCACTTAACAAGAGTCATACTAATGTCACTGGTATTTTCTATGTATCCCAATGACGGTAAGTGGGGGCTGCAAAAAGCAGGTGGAAATTTTCCATTATCTTTTCAGTCCATTGTTCTGAAAACTTTTTTTTTAAACTTTTTATTGTGAATTGAGTAAAGGTTAACAAACCAGATCATCAGCTGTATAAAAGTCAACAAATCATATGCTTTGCTCCATTTCAATACTACAAGCCCCTCCCAGCACCAACCGCTCTTGCACTTCCTCCCTGTATTTATTTCCCTTGGAAATCTTATCGTTCCCCAGTGAACAAAGCAAACATATTTCATGTACACGTTGTTGTTGTTGTTAAGTGCCATTGAGTCGATTCCGACCCATAGCGACCCTGTATAGGGTTTCCGAGGAGCAACTGGTGAGCTTGAACTGCCGACCTTGCAGTTGAAACGGCTTTGCAATCTGGTGCATTAACCCACAGCGCCACACTAGGACTCCTGATGTACCGATACAATCCAAAAATTATGTAGTCATTTTAAAGCCCCAAGAGCGTAATCTGCAAGTCAGCCTCCTGCCCACAGGCACAGCCTTATTCAGTCCATGGGCCTAGAACCTGTAGCTGGTCTGTCTCTCCATGCCACCACCTCTGCTACCTGTTCCATAAGCTTTTTGAAGCCCCTCATCTGTGCGTGCTGAGAGAAAGGGCACAGTTTACTCTGATTACTGTAGACTGCGTGACCAGAGATTCCTGTGCGGTTTCTGGCCTCTATCAGCAGGTGTGTGAGTAGCTATGTTTCTGGCAAGAATGCCCAAAGCTGTCATCGGGCTTTCAAAGCTGTTAGCAGGCTCATCATAAATGCGTCACAAATGTCTGTGTGAGGAACACAACGGCATCTGGCAATTCTGAGCTCTTCATATTTAATGTCTTCTCTGTTGCACGGAGCCCTGGCAATGCAATGGTCAAGTACTCGGCGGACTGACCGATAATCAAAATTTGGTGGCATGGCTGGCAGAGACATGGCAATGCGCTCCTGCAAACACGGTTGTCAGGTGTCGTTAAGTCGGTTCTGACTCACCGTGACCCTATTCATGAGAGAACGAAACACTGTCCATCTGGCAGCAACCTCACAAATGCTACACATGAGCCCATCACTGCTGCCACTGTAGCAGTCCATCAACGGGAGAGGTCTTCCTCTTTATCGCTGACCCTCCACTATTCCAAACAGGACGTCCTTCTGCAGGGACTGGTCCCTCCTGATAACACATTCAAAATATGACACAGGAAGTCTCGCCATCTTTACTTTTAAGGACCACTCTGGTTGTACTTCTTCCAACATAGACTTGTTTCTTCTTCTGGAAGTCCATGGTACTTACAGTTCTTCTGTGGTCCTGAATATGTGGTTGTTGAGAATACCATGGCTTGGACCAGACATACCTTAGTCCTCAAACTGATAGCTTTGTTCATGAACACCTTAAAGGGGAGATGCTGTGCAGCAGATTTGCCTTATTCAATATGTCATTTGATACCTTCACTACTACCTCCCTGAGTGTTGATGGTGGATCCAAGCAAAATGAAATCTTTGACAAATTCAATTTCTTCCCCATTTATCATGTTATTTCTTGGTCCAGTGGTAAGGATTTTTGTGTTCTCTATATTGACATGCAACCCATAAGAAAGGCTGTGGTCTTTGATCTTCATCAGTAAGTATATTAAGTCCTCTTCACTTTCAGCAAGCAAGGTTCTATCGTCTGCATATTGCAGGTTGTTAATGAGTCTTCCTCCAATCCTGATGCCA